GACTTCTCCCTGCTAGTGGGGACATGAACGTTATTTCTGTCTTCTCTGCGGTGACCACTGAAACATGTCAAAATACAGTTTTTTTAAAGCCTCTGTCTCTGAAAACTGGATAGAAAGTGACCACATGTTTCAGAAGTTATCATGGAGAAAGTCAAGCTACTCCTTTGCCAGATCACATATGCCTCGTGTCCACATGAAAACTGGAGAAAATCCTTTTACTCAGTGCACAGTCCCTACTTTTCTTTAAACACAATCCGAGCGATGATATTTGGAGGTGTGCCCACTCAAGCAATCCATCGGCTGGGGAAATAATCGCAGAGCCGTGCATCCCTCGATCACCATGAGAGGGAAGTAATTACTGAATGGAGTAAGCGCAGCAGACGGGAAGCAATTGCTCTCGTGTGTTTGGATTGCAGTCTACTGCCTGGCAGGTCTGACAGGCTGCTGGGGAGAAAAGCAGGTTTGGAGGCTATTTAAGCACCTAAGCATGCCGAGAAGTGTCCAGTGGGATTTTTCAGGTGTAGGTCTATGCCAGCCTGACATAGCTCTATGGAGCTGCATGGCAGCTGGATAGAGGTGTGGTACATACTTTTGTTCCTATCTGGCCCGTCTGGCATCACTCAGATGTTTTGGTGTGGACTTCCTGGGGGTGAAGGCTCCAGACAACTGCCTGCATCCCATAAGACAGCAGGTACAAAGTGAAGCTCATTCATACCAGCACAGGCTTAGGTCTCTGATAATGAATTTCCTTTTACAGGAGAGAAAGAAATGTGTGCCATGGTATTGCTCTCTTTCCTAAAAATAAATGCAAGGAGAAAAAGAGGATTCAGACAAAAATACCTTGCAGGATTATGAACCCACACGAAGCAGAAATCCTGCCAGGCCCCGATAAATTGTCTGATAGGTTTAATGGTAAACTTGACAAGACAAAAAGATTTTTTTTAAAAACTTTTTTCACTGAATTATGAAGCTTCAGACTTACCTACAATCTACGAAGCTAAAAACTTCTGTAAAAATGAAAACTGAGGTACCTGCATGACTCCAGAGGGTGGAGATTTACTAAAAAACAAACACACTGAGTTTTTTTGATCAGACACTGTTTGTGGAGGAAAGATTTATGGTGAAAGGCACGCGACATTTACATTTTCCTCTGCAAAGGCCTCCCTACAAACTGCACAAAAACCCATCTGACTGAGCCCTTCAGACTCAGCTATAAGCTGTTAGGAAAGCAACTAATCCAAAAAATTGCAAGCCTAAACACTCATATGCCCCGTTTGTAGGAAAGTGGAAAATCAGCCAATAAACACTGTCTACTATTAAAAATTAGAGTACTCAGAGATGTTATCCCTCCTGAGAGGTTACCCTGAAACAGTGGCCTCTGGACAGGTCACCTGAATGGCTGATGTGTGCAAAGCCCCTGTATTTTAGCTGTGATGGCTCAGGCAAGAGAGGGACCTGGATACCTCTTAGCATGATGGCAGCGTGACCAGGACACCTTGTGCCTTTGAGGTAATGGGAGTCACATCCTGATCTCATGGTCTGAAGAAGCACGCATGACGGCAGATGGGATACATGGGAAGAAAATGGCCTGGTCCTGACAGCGATTTACTAGTAGCTGAGAGAGAGAGCAGGACTGCGCAGCCACAAGCTGTGGGTGTAAGCCTCTCATGGGAAGGAAAACACAGATCAAAACAGAAGAAAGCAAATGAGCAAGTATACCACACAGAGATGGCTTCAGGATCTCTATTTTACTGAGGGAAGATGAAAAGCAGTGACTCTCAGCGTTGCTCAGGATAGGAAGATCACCAGGCAATGCCCTGCTTGTGAAAATTAGATAGCCCAATGGAAAGGAACTCTTTTTGCTTTCACAGGGTGCATTTCGGAATCCACTAGCTGGCTCTGCTAAACCTGATGCAGGTCTTCATTTCCACCATGCAGGCAGATCCTGCACAGCTGCATCATTCGATACAGATGGCCTCCAAGAAGCCCTAAGTCAGCAGCACATTGGCAAGAGCCCTGGTGGAAACAGTCCCACACAGAGCAGAAATAGCCCCTGCAGGAAGCACATTGCTTTTGTGGAGCACAGGGAAAATGAAATCATTCTGTTTGTAAAGAGCACCTCTGAAACCTTAAAGCATCCATAGTTGTATAATTCTTTTGCACCATGACATAGACATATGCAGTGTAAATGTACTGCCAGGTGCTGCAGGAACAAACTGAAAGCACCTGTCCCTTTGGATTGAGCTGTACTGCAAATATATCTTCTTCAAATCAGGTCTTTATCTGTAAATGCCTTGCACACCTAAAGGAGACCAGGTTTTTAAAAAAAAGTTCACCACAAGTACTAAATTCTGGCACAATGAAGCCATCCACAAACTCTGAGGCTCCTAAATGTTACAATTTTTTCCCAGACTCACCCCTTCTAGTAGGACTACCCAAGGGGACTTTTGAAAACATAAAATTTTCAAAAGCTCAAGCAACTGCAAATAAAGGTTTGAATGCAAGTGTCAAGTGTTGATCTTTAGTGATAGTTCTGACTTTTGATAAAGGATGATGAATGTTACACTACCCTTTTGTATTAACAAGAGATCTCAAATGTTATTCAGCATTTTAAGTTCAAATATCTATATAAATAGAAATCACATGCTAATAGGACATAATGTTTCACTGTCTCACATAAAACATCATTCTGAATGGTTTATGCTCCAAAGTATGAGTTGATACCACTATTGGTATTAGCTTAGCTATGTCCAGGATTTCGGTGGTTTATACCAGCTATTTTAGCCAGCCCTCAGCCATAGAAGGTTTTCGCCTTAATTTTAGTTTCATTTTTCCACTGGAAAATGCGAGTTTGTTGGACCACGTTGGTTTTGCAGAAAAGCCAGTTTCAGTGAAGGCTCGTGGCTTCTCAGGGCTGTGATAGACCTGCTGGAGGGGAAGGCAGGCAGTGAAGGTACCTGCCTGGGAGCTCAGGGAGCAGACAGACTGATGTGCCTGTGCTTGACCATCTTTCTGCAAGAGATTTGGGAAATGAGTTCTCAGCTGATTCAGCTGTTGCAGACAGAGCTAAGAGGAGAGAACAGAGGAAAGGAGCATGCAGTGGTGGTGGTATTATAATTTTTTAGCAGGGAGAGATGGAAAGATTTCTACTTCCAATGGAAAAACAAAAAGCAGTAGCCAAAATTCCTCAGAAATGCAGTCCTTCCTCCTGGTTGGATTTAGCCACAGTTTGTCTTAGTGCATTCAAGGAGTCAACAAACAAAGATTCATTTACTGTCTCTCAACCTAATAAAAGCAAAGCACTTGCCTGACCTTTCTTGCTGACAGCTCCTAGTTTTAGGCAGCCACATTCAGCTGTTCTCCATCATTATGCTAAACCAAACAACACCCAAGTTTCCATTTTCCAGTGTCTAAATCTTTCAGCACAGTATCATCATCTTTCCCTGCCTTTGTGTGGCCTTTTCCACCTTCCTTATGCTCCTATAGAGGTAGTAGGGTCTCATGGATTCATGCTGGCCCCTAGGATCAGTTCACAGCTAATGTGGATGCCTTGTCCGTTGTATGCTGGCTCTCAGCACATTTAGCTTCTCAGCCATACTGCTTTAATTATGTTGTTTGTTTTGCATTTATTGGACTGTGTGTTGTGCTTTCATTGCTTAGATAAAACTAGCTAGCAATCTCCAGTCCTCCTGAAGGAACACTACTGCAGGAAATTAATGAACGTACTACTTTCCCCAGCACAGAGCAAATATGCCGCTAATGGTGACAAACTCTCAACCTTTCCTTGGCTGCAGCATTAGTGAAAAATCCTGCCTAGTCCATATGTGTGAAGAGATATGGCCATTGAAACTGCTGGCGAATAGCTCCACCTGAAGAACCAAATGGCAGGATACTAAAGCACATGTGGATCTCACCTGATGTTTAGTTTTTACTGTCATTGTCATCAGGCAAATCCCTTGACCCAAACTTGAGAAATCAATAGTGTTATTTTCCACTGGTCAAACTTTAATTGTCTCAGAGGCTTCCAAGTTCAATGATAGACACTTCATTTAAAGCAAAAAATAGTAGCGCTCTATCCCTTTCTTTGATATTGAAGACTAGGATTCTTCAGAACTGAAATGTCTGCTCTGGCTTGACAAATACCCAGTACTGGTAGATGTTTAGAGCAGGCAGATTAGAAACACAAGCAAGAGGGTGAATTATTTTCATGCTGTGGAGTACAGACTGCAATAGGCATTGCTACTGCCAGTAGACAGAAATATAAGCAAACGTTTCCTTGCAATCATTGATGAGACTTCCAGGGAGAATCCTTTTCTGTCACGTTACATTATCTGCCATGCTGGGCAACTCAATAGTTACTCTGCAGGCACTTATGAAGACATACTTGTTGAAACAAATGATGGAGCATGAGGTGATCGTTAGTTAGGCACAGGCTGGAAAACAGCAAGCCCTTCTCATGAAGAAAACAAACCAAAACACTGTCACTTCTCTGGTAAAGACTGAGCAATTTTTCAGGTGGAAAGGAAATGGCTCTCCTGGAAAGCAATTTGCTTCTGCAGAACAGAGATAATTTTTCTGCTCCTGGAAGGATATTACCTGGTTTGCTTTTCCAGATGATCAGCTTGGGAACTAATAGATCAGCTTTTCCAATGGGAAATCCAAGTGTTTGAGATAGCAAGGGCGTTTTCCTCTCAGAAGTCATGTCCACAGAAAATCCCTAGCTGGACATTGTATAACCTGACATGGAACCTGACCATTGTCAACTGAAACTTAAAATATTTTGTAGACTCCTCACTCAGCAAAGTATCTCACAAGACAACCACCACTAACACAGAGGCATATCAAGGTGGAGAACACACTACCCTGTTTAACCACCTCCCACTACCCTGGAGAATATCTTGCCCACGTTTGGGTTTTGGTGAAATTTCCTTGCTGATGTGGGGTGATGGCTACTCCATGGATGCAAAACTCCAAATTAGCAGGAGACGTTTTAACATTACCTCATGAGACAGGTAAAAGGCAGCAATTCCCAATGGCCAGAAGCAGCAGAGCATGGAGAACACAGTGAGGCCAAGATGATCTCTTGGTGGCATCATCAGGAAATTGTCTTCACTTTCGGTATCACTTGAGTAATCGCTCTGGAATAGCAAGGGAGAGAGAAATGTAGGGGTGCTAGTTAATGATATCATTATTTCTCCTCTGCCATAGGCCAAGGTTGTGATCATCTGCCCATAAAACTCTTTCCAGTCACACCAGGGCAATTCCTCAAAATCAAGATAGGCCTCCAGCACTCATGGTAGAAGGTTTCTGGTGACCCACTCTGGGGTCTCTAATACACAGGGGTCTCTAGACAGGGCCAGCTCTGAGTCACTTATGCCCTATTCATCAGGGCCTGTGCACTTGTTCTGCTCTGCTGTGGACCTACAGTGACAGGACCACAGGTGTTAGCCTGCCCTGCTGCAGTGTCCACACCAGCCGGTGGCATCCTTCAGAAGGACTTAAGGATTGGGACTGTGGCTGTTGCACATCTCCCTCCCCGCCCTGCTGAAAGGCTCACCAGAGCACTAACCACCTGTTTTAGCAGCACTTCGAGGGGAGGCTGAGAACCAAACCCTGATGCCTGCACCAAAATCAAACAGGAGAGAACTGGGAGCACATCTCAGGGGCAGGGCTACCTCTGCAAGTTGCAGGCTAGGACGGCAGCTGCCCTGTTAGCACCAATGCTTGGTGAAGCCGCTCCAGCCAGTATCACAAAGTCAGCATTCTTCTTCTCTCCTGCTGGATGCACAGCACTGGCTAGCAGGTGTCCTTATGAACACCAGAAGAATCTCCATTCACCGACTGTGTCACAGCCCCCATCACTATTGCATGAATGTGAAAGCGAGAAATGACAAGAGACTTTGGAAATCACTGCAGGGAGCTGAAAAGGGCCCATTTTACATGTTCATCTTTCACGAATGAAAGAAAGTGACTTTCTAGCCCGATGAACCAGGGTGAACCTGGGTGGGTTGGCACTACAGCAACATAATGTCACATATCTAACGCAGAAGGAGCTGTAAGCATTGGGCACTCTGCATTTCTCAACTCAAATGCCAGTCTTCTGGAAGGTCCCTGCTCAAGTGGCCAGAAGAATGTCAGACAGACATTACTCATTGGGGACAAGGTGATAAATGTCGTGCAGACCTAAGCATAAGGAATGAAGGCAGCAAAAGCTGAAAGAGAAAAAAAGCATGAATTGCTCCAGCAGCAATGGAATGCTACCAGATTTACAGTGTGTAGGCAGAAGCACCTGCCCAGGCGTGTTTCTTAGATGCCCCATGGTCAAGCTGCAGCAACCTTGACCTAGTAAAAGTTTTTTTCACAGTGATTACTAGGATTGGTCCACAGGGGACCTGACCGCCCCACTGCCAAGCAAGTACAATTCTCCAGCAGAGCAGGAGTAGAAGAGAGCCTGCTCTCTGGTGGCTTTCTCTTTGCCTGCAGGGAGTCCTTATGCAACAGCGACCACCACAGCTGCGGTTATTCCAGGCTTTGGAGTTCCTTTGGTGCAAGAAGGGTCATCGTAGGAGCGCCTCCAGCCTCAGATGAGGTGGCCAAAAGTCTGCTCAAAATGGGAAAATGCTGTGAAAAACCTCACTGAAAGGAAGACATCTATGTCACGTTTAGGAACTTACCCTTTCAGGCATGGGTTTTCTGTCCCTCTTAGAAACTTAGCAGCCTGTTGAGGAGCTTTTGGCCTTTGGGCCAAAACAATGGCTAAAGTGACATCGCTTTACCAGAGAGCTTTAAGTGAGAAACTCCTGAACAGGCTGCGGAAAATGCTGTGAAAAACCTCACTGAAAGGAAGACATCTATGTCACGTTTAGGAACTTACCCTTTCAGGCATGGGTTTTCTGTCCCTCTTAGAAACTTAGCAGCCTGTTGAGGAGCTTTTGGCCTTTGGGCCAAAACAATGGCTAAAGTGACATCGCTTTACCAGAGAGCTTTAAGTGAGAAACTCCTGAACAGGCTGCTAAGTGTGAAAGACAGGAAAATGAACCTATGCACAAGAAGGTAAGTTTCTAAACATGCCACAAGTGAGCCACAACCAAGAAGGACCTAGGAAAAGCTGGCAGCCTCATGATATTTGAAAGACTTGTCACTAGGTAACAGGATTGCCACCCAAGCTGACCCATTTGGGGAACCCACCAGATGACATAACCCATTGCTTGCTAACATAAGAGAGTCTGCTTTGAAAGACATTGCTGCCAAGCAGCTGCCACAGACCAGAGGGGCCTGGCAGGGACAGGTAGGGGTGCTGAGATTGTGTGGTGCACGTGAACAACAGCACATAGAGCCCCCCAGCCTGTGTCAGAGTCTTGATGCCTGAGCAGAAGTGACAAAGCTCCATTTGGCACAAACTCAACAAAATCCCATTTCTGAAGGGACACCTGCTGATGCTGGTGTACAGTGAGCTTGGTGACATCCCCTTCTGCTTTAATTTTCGGAACAGGCCATGTAAGTAATTTTTAATATCAATAATCTTTCCTTTCAAGACTAAGAGAAAAGAGCAGGAGGGAGGAAATCCACAACATTGTCTCTTGAAACAGTGCCCTTCCTTGAACTTCACGACAGGTAAGATACAAAAACAAAACTGCTTTTGATTTCCCAGTTCTTGGCTGAGTAGTGTGCTGGCATCGTATTTGTGAAGACTACCTATCTGATATTTCAAATTGCCGTTTGTTGCAGACGAACATTAAATGGGGCAAAGATTCTCTAGATAACCTTGATCAAGTGCTGAACCAGGAAATTATCAGTTATGCTGCTTTCCAAAGGGACAAACCATTCTCAGGGTGTCATGACGTCTCAGAGAGCTTCCATGCCTGAGAGGTGGCTGTTAGATTGCAAGCACGTATCTTCGGAAGTTTTCTTAGTTGTGCTAACATGAAAGGGTAGTCAAGCATTGGAACAGGCTGCCCAGGAAGTGGTTGAGTCACCATTCCTGGAGGAATTTAAAAGGCGTGGTGTGGATTTCCTCCCTCCTCCTCTCTTCTTTGAGTCTTGTAAGGAAAGATTATTGATATTAAAAATTATTTACATGGCCTGTTCCAAAAATTAAAGCAGAAAGGGAAGTCACCAAGCTCACTGTACACCAGTACTTAAAAGATGTGGCATTTAGGGACATGATTTAGTGGTAGACTTGGCAGTGCTAGGTCAATGTTGGAATCAATGATCTTAAAGATCTTTTCCAACCCTAACAATTCTATGATTCTATAAAAACCCTTACTGAGGAAGATTAAGTCACTACAGGCCTATACTAATGGAATAGTAGAGTTACACTGTGAATGCAATTTGATGGGTGAAGTCCTCGCAGTACACACTGGATCAGATGACCTAACTGTTAATCACCAAGAATGACAGAATAATTCTGATGAGAAAGCTGCGACTATTAGTCCAGATAAGAATCAGAAGGGTGAAAAAAAAATTGAGTCATAAATCACAGAATAAATCCAACAGCAAAAGGTACCCTTCCAGCTAAGCACTCATTTCTCCAAGCAAACCTTCCTTTCTAATGTTCTCTCTCTTACAATGTGATACCTAATTCTTAGCTTATCGAGAGATCCTCCCTATCCAGAAACCTTTCGAGCATTGGGAAGATTTGACAATTTGGCTACCTAGATGGTCTTCTTCACTCATTCCTGGTTCTGCAAGAGCTGCACCCTGACACTGGAGAAGCTGGACATTAGGAGTGCTGAGAAGTCAGAATTACTTTCACAAGTTTCAGTTGCTTTGGGTTAACAGACTAATCTTGCATAATCACTAATATTCTTGTCCACAGCACTGTGCTAGATGAGTTTAAGCAACCTGAAATATCAAACTATCAGGCTTTTCTTTCTACAGGTGTATCACCAATGCATCCTCCAACCAAACAATAAGCAATCAAAAGAACATGGGCAGCCATTAAAAAAAATACCTGGCAAAGCACATTCCTTTCTTGATTGAGACATTCTGTTCATCACTAGAGCAAAGATCCCTTACAGTTACTCTCCTAACAAATCCCAGTTACTCCAGGCTTTTTACTGAGCTAGTAAAAACACAATCGAGTTATCCTCTTTGAACAGAGCTCTTCTATCCCGTCAGTCAGACGATATCATTATCTTCATGATGCTACAAAAATCTTAGGAAGAAACAAGGCAAAATACATCCTGATGCAGCTGCAATCACGTAAGTGGCAAGAGACGAGGATGATGATGTGTCAAGGAACAGCAGCAGCAGCAGCTGGCAGTCTCTTTGGGATGTGGAGGGATTCACCCCTTTTCAGACTTGACATCTGGCTCCAGTAGTTTCCACTGCAATTGCACAACCACTTCCAACCACAACACACAGACAATATTTACGGAAGGCGGAGGCTTTCCACTGCAAGTTGGCTCTGACTTGGAAATACATATTTGTGCTCTCAGCACATTAATCTCAGCAAGGTCCACAGTCCTTTCCCTTGCCAAGTAAGCTGCGCTTTCTGCAGCCATGCGAGGTGCTGCTGTGAGAACCGATACCCATGCAAATGGTCCTGTAGCAGAAATGACACATCTCTGAAATCATTGAGCCCACAGTGGGGGGGCTTCCAATGGATCCTTTGTAGCAAAAGCAGTTATGACAACAACCCTCCTCATCTTCGCTGATTACTGCTGTGTGTCCCTCACTACCACTCTTGGAGTTCAGCTGAGAAGACAGCACAGGATAAAGCAACCTCAGTGTCAGTTTATCCACAAGACTTTCTGTGGCTGTCTTGAGGAAGAGGTGACCTCAGGAGTGCAAGCAAGACTGGAGTTACCAGGAGATGAGGCCCCAGAGGACATCTCCCCAGAGCATGAATTCCTGCAGAAAGCACAGTGTCCTTCCCTTCCCTTCCCTTCCCTTCCCT